ATGTTACACTTTCTAAGGAGTGCTTGTAATGCCTAAGTCTGCTATGCAAAAAAAGGAGGGAGACAAAACAATGGCTCTGCATTTTCATTTCATCTTCCTCAGGTGCTTACTGGCAATAAGTTATATTAGTTGCAGGTATGCTAAACCCTGTGCAGAACAAGATAGTTCTTACTGCTTTTCCAAGGTGTAAAAATACACATGCAGGTCTGTCCATTTCAGTCTGTAAAAATTCTACTTATCACATATGATAAATGTTAGTTTGCCTAAGACACTTTATGTACGGTTCTATTCAAAATTATAATAAAGGATGAAACCAGTTCATAGGAATTCATAGAAGAACAGAGATATGGTCCCAAGAATAGTAGACAAGTACACCAGAGCCAAAAGACCACTTTGCGAGGTGACTGGAGAGAGATCTAAATAAAATTATAATAAAGGATGAAACCAGTTCACAGGAATTCATAGAAGAACAGAGAAGACAAGTACACCAGAGCCAAAAGCCCACTTTGTGAGGTGACTGGAGAGAGATCTAAACTACAGACCCTTCTCATCCACAGGAAACCTAAAGCAAACCTCCACTTATTCTAAGTGCTCTAATCATGGCTCATAGGTTAGACTGGGAGATTAAACCACCGGAATACAGGCCAGTATGCAGGTAAAACCAGTGTTTATCAGATCAGAAGAAAACAGCATGACTGTAACTGGGTGGTGAGGACTCTTGCTGAGCATGAGGAAACTGGAGTTGCAGCTGTACAGAAAATCTCTACCTGGTCTAAAATACACAGGACAAGCTATGCTGACTCCTGCAGCTGCATTGTCAGCTGAGTTCTTTTCTATTTTAACTGCACTGTTCTGCAGAGTGAACATAGCAAGAGATGCGAGATTATTCATGACCATATTCAACCTAAGGGATGTTGGGTCAAAGGCTTGTTGTAACAGTAGACAAGGCAGAACTGAAGAGCCACAGTGAACTCTAGAAACCCAGTCTCTAAAAGTTTACCTAGCTCTACTTACATAAAGCAACTAAGGACAAAATCCAGAAAAAAATGTAAGTCATATTGCTGAAAAGATCACATTTCTTTAAGTCAAATATTTTCTTAAAACCAAAATGCCTCTTACCCGTATGCATGCAGCACTAATACTCTCTGAATTACACTACAGAACACCGTAAGACAATTTCTAACAACTCAATTAGTAATTACCAATATTACAACAATACTAGTGATATTCAGCACTTAAATTAGAATTGAAGTTCTCTGCTGGAAAAAAGGAAAGCTGGGAATATAATCAATATTTTCAAGATTACTGAAAAAAGTCCATTTCTTTTTAGTGCTGTTTTAGGTTTACCCAAACATTAGCAATGCAGTAGGTTACAGAAGAGATCTCTGCCTGACTGCAAAATGCTGCACTGGGCTGCAGCAAATCTCTGCTACAGCAAAGTGTGTTACCACAGCAATACAAACTATCATTCCTATACATGAAAAATAAATGACATTCATAGGAAGTCTATCTAAAATCTACATTTCTATTATCTAAGTATTCCATCTCGTGTACTGAAATGATGTCATAAAACGGTATCAGATTTCTTGTAATAAAATTACATTAATTTAACTTCATGGTTAATACAACAGAACACAGTATTACCTGTTTTAGTACTTATTTTAGAAGATTTTGAACTAATAGAAGATTGCTAATTACAATTTACTTAACATCAATGTATATCTGAATGATTGTTTTAAATCTCTGAGCCTAAACTAAAGTAAAAATTGCTGTCAGTTGGTTTAAACAAGTAACTTCAAAGTATGTATGTTTCAAAAACACTTGCTTCCCCTAATCCTGAGTTCTGTGGTGTAGACAATACAATTCTGTGCATCTCTGCATAAGGAAAACGATGTTAAAAATACAAACTGAGAAATGATAATGGCTAGTAGGTGAGAAACTATATGGGATAGTAGACATAAATTGTAAGAATATAGCACAGAATCAGTGAAGTAGTGGACATGGTATTAAACTTCATCTTTCTGGTGCTCGTGACATGGCGACTGAGCTAGTAGCAACTTATTTCTCACTACTTTATTCATTCAGCTTTTCTCTGCTTTAGCTTGGTAATGGACTTATGTGAAACACTCCTGTTAGAAGGCAATCACTCAATTTCAGGTTGTGAACCATGCGATCACCTATGAATCTAAGACAGCTGCCAAACTGTTAGAAATGGAAGTAGGATTCATAGGTAGAAACACAACTTAAGAAAAATCTCCCGTTTCTGTTACTTAAATTGCCTAAGACTCAAAGAAGTACCACAAACTATTATTGGAAGGATGAGGAAATCTCTCACAGGACAAAGAAGCATCTCTCAGAATTGTAGCTACAACAATCTCGTATTTTCAACATTATAATCCTTAGTTTATAGATTATAATCAATGCTACGACAGACCAGTACAGTAGAGTGTGAGTCTGCATGTAAATGCATTCATTACCTATTTCCCTTCACATAGGAACTTTGAATCTATTCTGATTTAATGGAGGTTAACTAAGGACTTATTTTCAAATACTAGCATTTTTAACAATTGCAGCTCTTAAGTTACGTAAGCATAACTGAAATAAATAAAATAATCAGCAGTCTACAGTGTATCTGACAGAAACAAAAGCATTTAAAGTTGATGTTTATGTAAAAGATTTTAAGACAAAACCAAACAGCTACACTGAGTTTGGTGCATTTTTTGGCTTTATCATCAAGGAGTTCTTGAGCTCAGCGTATTACCCTGTGCACCCTCATCCTACTGATTTGTCTTTATATAGCTTTATAGTTTTATGTGCTGATAATAAAACAAATAATTTGACAATACAGCTATGGATTTAAGTGAACAGATACATTTAAACAAATTTACCAGCACTATATTTGATATTCAACAAGTGCAACACTCAAAGGCAATTTTTAAATATTTTTTTTATTTTTTTAACAGATCAAAGGTCTTATATAGATAATAAATCTCTGCATGGAGCCCTTTTTAGGTGAGTGTGAGCAAACAATTACATACCACTTTTAAAAATGTAATTCCAAGTCTTGACATTGTAGGGAATTCCAATTACAGTAAACTTTCAATTGATTTTGCCAAGAAAGGTTGGACTAGATGATCCCTGAGGTCCCTTCCAACCTGGTATTCTATGATTAAACCTTTTTTTTTTTTTTCCCCTGTAACTTGCCCTTATATAAGACAGCATGCTAGGGCTGTGGAGAAAATTAGAGAGCCTTGATATACAGACCAGTTCACTTCACAGCTCTGAAATAAGATTCTCAATTCAATCAACGTTCATGTTATCTGACACAGTTAATTTACCAATCAAATTAACTAGTGATTAGCATAATTTAAAATTTGTACTGTTTAACTGCACTTATACAGAAATCGTGTGCTCTCATTCAGACTTAACTAAAAAGCAATGGAAAAAAAAAAAGAATAAAGAATGTAAGCTTTGCCTCAGAGTCCTAAACTTGCTCCATATTTAAGCTAAAAGGTATTAGAATTCCCAGCAAACCTGAATAAACAAAAGGTAGACTTTCACCTGCCTACGAGCATTACTGAATTTCAACTCAGGCTGAGGTACAGTCACTTCTTAGTTAAACTTCTTCCTAGACTCTAGGTCTTAGTTGCTCAACTCATTTGTAACACATAATGCCATTTGAGACTCTGCATGTTGTCCAAGTAATAGTTATGGATAGGCAGATATGATACAGGACCTCCAGATCCATGCTCTTACTGGATCAGGGTACACAAGAAGCAGGAATCAGTTGCTTAAACCCTGGCTTCTAGTGCCATTTTGCCCCTGTCTTCCAGTTGCTGGCTCAACAAGAAAATATATTCACTTGGGTCCTGCGTCATATCTGGTAGTTCCTCTTAGATGTCTTAAATACAGTAGGGCATCTCCAGATGATACAAGACACCAATTTTTAGGCAACTAAGAGAAGTGATAAAATATTAGCAATGAAAGGCTTTGTTCAACAAACCAAACAACGTATTTATGATGAAGACATGCAGAGTTCAAATCACTCCATCTTTTCCCTTCTTAGACTGACAAAATAGAAGTTATGAGGAGAACGAGAGACACTCAGTATTTTCTAGCTCCGCAAAGGCTGAGAAGAATAGCTGCCCCAGCTGTGCCATTAATAGTGCATAATGGGCGACCCAGGTCACTCACCCAAGCTGAGGTTTCTACATACAACTCTAAAACAAATAGGTGAAAAATCTTTTATCATTGCCCATTATTCCAGCACTAAGATAACTGCATTCTCACATATTAAACATATATTCAAACCTTGAGTAGACTACAATTAAATGACAGCTGAGAACTTTTGACTATGATATAGCCATCTGCCATATCTTACAGCTAAAGCAATAACGGAAATATTTAAAATTGTGAATTTTTAAACTAAGACCTATAAAAACCCTGGAACTTTTCATTATGTTGAGAATTTCATTATGACACGCTTAAGTAGTTATATGCTATTTCTAATAGTAAAGATAGAATTCTGACTACTGGGAGAGTTCTTCAGAATTTATCTTTCAGAAAAAGCATAAAATGTTATTCATACTCTATCTGTCAAATTATCGTATTAGAATCTGGTGACCAAAACTAAAACCTTAACTTGCAGTGAACAGCAGTTGTAATAACTATACCATTGACAGGAGATAGAGTAACAATATAAATAGAACTAGGGAAACTACTTACAGATGTGGATACACTTCAACACAAACTGTATTACATTATTGTAAACTTTCTCAATAATTCTTTGTTTATTTAAGTCCTAAACTAATGTCTTTGCAACTAAAGATAATTGTTATTATATTAAAATATTCTAAACATAAAAGTCAACATATTCTAAAAATACCTCCATTTACTCTGACTTTTTTAGGGAAATTCAGATTTATGAAGAGGTGGCTGGGTTCTCTAGCTTATACTGGACACAGAAAAGATTCAGAGGTCAATGAAAAATGTAAATTTACCTGGGAACTGATCATACGTTGTGATGAACGAGCAATATTAGCAGGCAGGCCAAAAAAGTCAGGTTTATCATCTTCTGGAAGGCTTTCAATAATATTACGATAATCCTGCATTAGTAGAACAGAATAAACATACCTGAGGAAACTTTTTGTTCAGCTTATGAAATTAACAGTGTATGGTAGAAAGAATTTAATTAAGTGCACTGGATAACACAAAGATTAACGTAAGTATATAATATATGACATATTTTGGTAATCTTATTTATAAATTTCTTAATTTTATTTATAAAAACCTATCTTCTTTTATACAGTGTTTACACTCTAAAAGAGAGAAAAGCAATTCTGACTACAGTGATGTTATCAACTGAAAAGAAAAATATGATAAAACTGTCTCTGAAAAGTAGTTACAATACTGCTGTTGAAAACTTAAAAGTAAGATTAATGACATAAAATAGAAAAAATATTTCAGCATTTGGAATTCATACAATACAGTGTAATACATATTTATAAAATGAGGAGCACTCACTTCTGTTTAAATCTATGAAGATATTATCACTCAAAGAAAGTGAAATTGTTTAGATAAAAATAGGTTTGCATGATCACTGGAGATACAGAATAGCATCAATGGTGGTTAAAGTGTTAGTTATAGTTAGTCACTAGTGATGCTGCAGTGAAGGCAAGAAGAAAAGTTCATCTATTTGACCATATTATGCACAAGAATAGAGACCAGCCTGGTTTGTTTACTCCTCCCCTCTTTATGATATTAACTCAGCACATCTATAGAAAACAACCATCATATTCAAAGTAAAAAATCAAACAAATCCCAAACCTAAACAGTCAGAATTCAGGTAGAGAATGCCAAACGACAGCAATTTATTTTAACTGGCATAATTCCATTTACATCAACTCATATTAGAGGTTTAGTACACAGTCCTACAGTAAAATGCAAATGAATCTTAATAGTAACAACAATAGTATGTGAAAAGATAGGGACTCTTTTACACTCTGTTGAGTTCCCTCTTGTTTACACTAAACGAATACTAAAGGAGAATCAGAACCCATATTTATCTCCAAATAAAATGTCATATACCCTCCACAGCATGTTAGCAGATTACGTCAGAATGTTGATATATTTTGTAAATCAGGAGATATATTTAGATTTTCCTATTTCATCCAGAAGTTACAAGAATGTTTAGCAGTCTGTATAAAAGTCCTATTATGTTAATATACGAAGTTATACAAAAATGTAATTATATCCTTCTTTGTCATAAATTGACCCAATTTCTTTTACTCAGTTCTTCATGGCTATGCTGCTCTGCACCACAGTCCAATCAGATACCTTAAAAAACCACTGATGGAATAGACTAGCAGAATAGATCTGACAATTTAAGAATTAGTGCTCTACACAAATAAGTCATAAATATATGGAGGTATCCTTTGGATTGTATCTCTGGGTTTCTTTGTCGAATTATTTCCAAGAATAATTCTTGAAAATAACTTAAATTTCTATATTAGGTGACAGAAGATGTATACCTACCAAAATACTGCAGGAATTCGGTAAAGAGATAGAATATGGGAAACCAGTCGTCTTCTTGCCTCTAGCATTTAAACTGCCAATGACTCGTGAATTGAAAAGCTGCTCCAAGTAGGATCGAAGAACCCTCATATCGAAGTAATTATCTACACGGCCTCCATAAATTGCATTTTCAAACAAGCCATGCACAAATTCCCACTGAAAATCTTTGGAACCTACAAATTAGTATCAGTTTTGTATCAATGGATAGCATTGCATTATAAGCATCTCTTCTTGTTGTTGCAGTACTTCAGTGAAATGAAAAAATACAAATAAATCAAATAATTAATTTCCAATTGTTTTTCTTCTATATTACCAGATAATAAAAGTTGCAGAAACTTCAATGAGTTTGTAAAAATTTGTCATTAATAAAATGAATACTTACTGTGTTTCAAAATGAGTTATTAGAAATATTACTTAAGTTTTGAAGTGTGTTTTATTGTAGATAAACCAATTGGTTATATGCATTTCAGAAATGATGCTATTAAAATTTTAATTATGTGCTCCTTTGTCATAAATAAAAAGAATTTCTCTTGTTCAAAATTTCATACAATATTTTGTATCACAGTATCATCTGATCTCATAAAATTAGCTGATTGATTGAACCAAAACCAGATCATGCTTGAAATAAGTAACATTACTGGAAATGTCATCTTTCAAATGCAAAGGGGCCCAGGATAGGTACTTTTAAATCATTAGAAATCACACAAATAGCACACAAAACTAAGAATGTTACTATTAGTTTGCTGCCCAGACTGACATTGCAATTAGATTACTCTGGCTTAGCTATATCCCACAAGTTCAAAATAACTTATTTTCCCTCCCTTCTGTCACTGTTGTCCAAAATAACTACATGGAACAATGATCTACTTATACACTTTAGCTTTCATGTACAGGTAAAAGCTTGATCAGAAAGATACTTCCTAAAGTCCCTTGAAAAAAACTCTAAGGGAGGGTTTATTGGTGGTAACTGTTGTTTCCAAATACTCCTATCATTCCTTCGTATGAAAAGTTATCTTTGCAGCAATATTTAATGATTAGATTAATGATTATCATTGATAGCTAATGATTCAACCTCTTTACATCACTGTATGTTTCAAGTCAGTATAACTAAAGTCCAATTCCAGAAGTACTTATCATCCATAAATCTCATTTAAGTAAATGATCACAAATTATCTCTAAATATCAGTTCCTAACCTTACTTTGAAGTTATATAAAATGCAAAGACTTTAAAAAAATTTACCTTTTTCATACTAACTAATATTCAGACATTACTAGGCTACTTAATAGAACAATGAAGTGGGCTCTATCTAACAGTGAGTTTCAATATGAAGAATTCATTCATATTCAATTCATACTCAGTTCATTTATTCAGTATATGGAGGGGCTCACACTGGGAAGGAATGGAGAAAGAAGACTTCATCTTCCAGGCACTCCTGTATTTCCTGTTTATTCCTCTGGACTCAAGAAGCTGAGCAGAATAGTTCTTGGCACTAAGAAATTACTGGTCTACCCAATCTCCACAAAATGCAATTATGATTCACCCTGTGTTTCCAGCTTTGCTTACTGGTGATGAGCCTTGTAGCATCTCCACTCTCATCTGAGTGTTGTACAAAGATAAAGCTCTTCATGCAACATCTCTGCTAATGGTAAAACAGGACAGGTCCTGTTTGAACTCAAGGTTAGATGGCACAAGGTGGCTTGCATCCATACAGCTAAACTCTTTTGCCCTAAAACAAGGTAACTTCCTACCCGCTGCTTCCAGGCTCTGCTATCTGACAAACCATGCCTTATCACTGCCTACGAGAATGCCAGTGTGCGTAAGCCAAATACAGGAAAAAATAAGCCTGATCATGGAATAGTTTTGAGCCTGTGTCCAGCCCTTATCAAATTACTAATACAGACATATCCTCAGAGTCTGGATCTACGTCCAGAAAAGCCTAATAAGCCTAAGCACAGCCAATTCAGTGTGAGACTACTTCCCATACCGAAGTAGTTACCCAACTACCTGGTCATGTGTTTATATTTGTGAAAACATTCCAATGAAGATTCAAATGCAAAATTAAAATACCTTCAAAGCAGTCTTGAAACAGAATGGCCCCATTCCGAACTCCAAACAAAACAATCATGCAAAGTAATAAATTTATAAAAATTACTGTGAAAGTTTTTTATATTCTAAAAATTTTAAATGACAGACATTCAGAAGGCTAATGCTACAGAGGTGAGAAATCTTTCCTTAAGAAGTGACTTACCCTCAAAGAGCGTATCAATAATGTCAAAACCAGCACGGAGATCAGATAAAGAAAATTCATAAAACTTGGTCCAACCCTACCAATAAAAATATCCAAAGAATTTAATTCATCACATAATGATGGTCATGAAGTAAAATACAAATATTATGTGGTTACTGAATACTGTATAATACTTAATAGTGAATGAAAAAAGAGACAACTTTTGACCTCTAAAGTGCATCTTTGGAAACATTCAGCTGATATACTATTAAAAAAATCAGCTCTACCAGTGCATTTAATTTTACATATTTATACAAACTAGAATCCATTCAGTATAAGGAATGTAAACTTAGGATTATTTTATTTCCTAACAGTATTTATTTCAACTAAAATTTGCTGACATCTGTGACTAGATCACACATTGAATTATGATTTTATTTCTAAGGGCTTTTTTGTATTTCAGTTTCCTTTGGCTTTTCATAAATAGTTCTAATTATTCAAACACAGTCCACATTATACTTTCATCAACTTACTCCATAATTCATGTCACTTCTCTACTGACTGAAAAAAATTGTAATAAGAAAAGCAATTACTGCCACTATTACGGTGAAACCGATGACTGCCATATACATATTTTAATCATTCTCAGTTTGTACTTCCTTTCTGTTCTTGGTGGTGTTATTCTTTATACAGCATTAATGTGCAATGTGTATGCAATTCTCACAAAAAACTTTCAATGTAAATGGGTAAGTATAAATAAATATTGATATATGTTACAGAACTTTAGAAATTCAGATCTCAAAGGTATCTCCTGTTTCTGTGTCTTCTTACGGCTGTACCTTTGTATATGGACCATATATTAGGAACAGGTGCATAAGACATGCAAATGTGTCAGATAACATTCACATATCCAGTAAGAAGGATACAGTCTCAGGTGAAGACTGTAGCTGCTCCATAGATCACAATCAAACTATCAGCCAGTCACCCTGAAGGTCATAAACCGGAAAGATGCTGCAGTCTTTCAACAGTGTTCATGCATTATTTTTGACAGATTTGTACATGGACTCAAACCAACCTGAAATTCATTATAAAATACAAGAGCTTCTAGCTGGGATTAACCACAGTCCAGCAATGTTAGAAACTGGTAATCTTAAGCAAAATATAAAACCATCAGTAAGTCTGCACAAGACAAACATAGTTACAGTGGAAATAAGGAGAAAGCAGTAATCCTATCTTGTATCACTTGGAAAGCTGGTGGTAAATGAACATGAACTTGAACAAAGCTGAATAAGAGTTCCTGCATCAGATCAGTACTTTAAATATTTTCACATATTCTACTTCTTGAACACCATATTCAAAGTGTGTTACTGCAACAACCTTATAAATCACAAAGTCAAAACTAGCAAACAACTCTCAAACATTCCAGGCTCTGCCAGATCAAATCTTTCAGATGACAGGTTAATTTCACCCCTAGTCTAAATAAAATAAACAAGACATAGAACAGTTTGCTGGTTGTTTTTTTTTTCTAATTTAAGCATTGGCAGCCAGAAAGAAATGCTTGCTTATACAAAAATTTATCTAAGGAAAAAACACATTACAGTCTTTGAAAACCATTCTAATCCTCACAAGAAATGAGTAAATTCCCTTGTTCTTCCTTCTTCTTGAACACAGTTTGTGTGCAGAAAGAGTAGACAATATCATCTCCTCCTTCCCACCAAAGTGTCTCTTTTCTCACATCTTCTATTCAATCGTGTATGTTTCCAAAACATTTTTTCCTGTCCCAAGCAAACAGGACTCACAGAATCTTTTCCATGGGATCTCTCTCCTGCATCAGTATCAGTTAGTAAACAAACCACAAAATAATCCCATGCAGGTAGTAGCAATTTTCAGAGGGACAGGAATTTAGGCTACCAAGATCTTATTTTGCAATTAATTCAGAGACAATAATGAAGGTAGGTGTCAGAAGTATCCAAGTTTTTCTGATCTCTGAACATGACCCAATACCGACCTGATGAAAAATACTTTCAAATACAAAAGCTAATACCTGGGGTAAATTTTTAAGAAGGTAGGAAAAAAATTATTACCTGAGGAATATAATTTCTTCTTTCTTGGCATACAGCATGAAACCATGCTAAACAAAAGAGAGAATGCGCTCGAGACAAATTTCCTTTTTTATTAATTTGCTCGGGTGTCCAAGACTCATAGGTTCGCAAGAGATTCTTTTTGAGGCCTGGAGGTGCCTACATTGGAAGGAAAAACACTGTTATAGACAGAAAACCTGATACTTGTATGTACTATTTTCTTAAATTCTAGTTTACGATTTATAAATGAATGAAATGATGAACAGTATTTAATAAAACAAAATTTAACAAGAAAAAATATGTTGGTAATAAATGGCCTAATAGCAGAATGATCTTGTACTGAAAAATAACTGAAACATACTGAAGGACATTGTAATCAGGACCAACTTATAGGAGGATTGAACTACACTAAAAGAACTTAGTGAAAGAATAGTAGTCTATCAAAATATGTAAGCATAAAAGTAAATTCAATTTTTGCAAGAATAAGAACCTTCTGATTTTACAAGCTCAACAACCAATTATAATTTCTGTACTCAGAGTTAACTCGCCTTATGCCATCACTGCAATCTGTTAGCTAGCATATAGGTATGGTATATATGTTTGATAAAATGTCAGTTCTTTGATTTAGTGGTAGGTAATGTTCACAGCCAGTAGAAACAATCACAGTTAAAGTGGCTATAATAACAAAGATTACACTGCTTAAAAGTAAAACCAACTGATTAGGTACCCAGCTGTTTTAAAATTATTTGCAAGTGTGAAGGCAAACATAAATTTTAAAAAGATATAAATCACACTTTCATATTTATAAGAATGTTCTTTCTTTTGAAGAATAATGGTTGTTATTGTTTCCATAAGATTACCATAGTAGTACATGTTGCATATGCACACTTGAGGTAAATAATTGCAAAATACTGTAGTTAATTGATGATTTTTTTTTAAATATCTACATCTTGATCGGTAACATACCACAACCATATAATATTCAAATATTATTAGCCAAGTCATTAGCTATCATTGGTCTTCTGCGGTACAGAATATTTACTACAAATGAAAAGGTAACAAAAGGATTTAGAACATTGCACCAGTGCAAAGTTCCAATTATTCCAAAGACAGTGGGATCGGTAACTTCAAGAAGCTAGATGAAAAGAAATGTGACAATCCTACACAGTTCTGTAGTTTCTATACCATTGGAGACCTCAATATAAACAAGAAGGTACCCAAGAAGTTTAAAAATATCTGCAGTCAATATAAAAGTGTAACAAATTTGCCTTCTTGAAAGTCAGCAACATTGGACTCTAAAAGGTCAGAGCTTCTTAGTCTAGCTGTAGGCAAAATCTCCACACTCCATAACCAATGGAAGAGTTAGTAGCACCCTTATCCATGATTTCTATAACGGACATGAATACATAAGTGCATTAATGATTAGAGCACTTTCCAACAAGTTGGAGGAGGGAGGAGCATCGTCTCAGCTATTCCATAGGTTGAGCTATTTTGAAAGCAAAGCTCTCACTTTTTAGTAAAGGCCTTTAACTGTATATTCTGCTGTATGGAAGGAGAGCCATTTCTGTTGAAAAAAAAAAGTATATTCACTGCGTCCAGTGAATATAAAGCTATGGGGTCAAAAGGAAGAGAAAGTGTGATTCTGTAATCTTCAGATGAGGACATTCATCAAAAAGGAGGAATTCCTTGTTTTTCATCCACATTCCAGCACCTGTGTAAGTTTTTGCTTTTAAGAAACACTGATTAAATGCATAAAAGAATTTGGAGCACAAAACAGACAAATACTCCCCCCAGGTAAATTTATTTTCAGTTCAGACTTTCAGTTGGAAAAAAATATCTAGAAAGAAATTTTACAAACCTTCCCTTTAAAGCACAGTTTCTGCAAATTTCCACATACACATTACAAATGATCATCAAAAATCTTTCAAGGTAAATTCATAGTATTTTTTGTATTACATCTAATTGAAATATAAGGCAAAATCTGTTATGTAAATAGTCCATATTATCTGAACTTTATTCTATCTAAACATATAGTTTACTATACATCCAAATTCATTCATTGTAAATACGTAATAAAAGCTTTCCAAACAGATCTTACTTCGTAAGTTATTTTCAGACTTGATTGAAGCAAAATCGGAGTAAATTTTGGATGAACTTCAGTAGTAACCCAAAGGCGAAAGTTTGGTTGAGGCTGTAATGTATTCAGTTCCTATTAAAGAGACATTATATGTTGAAGTAGGTTTGGGGTTGGTTTTTTTAATATACAGAACAGTATTTACAAGATTATAATATCCTAAACCAGAAAGTTAGGCTTGTCTAAAAATTTTTTAATTGCTTTTACAAGTAAGATTATTCAAAAGACTGCAGTTCAAGATGTGTTGTCCTCACACATTCTATATGCTTGCTGTGCTCAAGTTCAAAGTTCATCCTACCTGTGTCAAAATAGTTGCACCTCTACTCCAGATCCTAAATTCAGAGCATAAAACGATATAGCAATTCTTTACTTCTTTTAAGTAAAAAAACACCAGAAGGCTATATTTTAAAAGATGAAGGTTTGGAATGTGGGCTGCATATCAACAACAAATCTCAATGACTTTCAACAACTGTAAAGCTATATTAATTTCTTTTTCTTCAAGTGTTTGTTGTATGCACATTTCACATATCATGATTCATAGAAAACTGAAGATAGGAAAATGGACTTCTAAGAGAATAAATACTGTCAAATGCTATTTCAAATATAAAGGCTTCTTAAAAAAAATGTAATTAGTGAATTTATGAAAACATACTGCTGGTGCTTTATGTGCATCTGAAACAGACATATTTTCTACTGAAGATACCAAAGTTATTTGACAACTGACTTGAGAACAATGTCAACAGTTTTGTGTACGTGTCTTGGAAGAAACGATCCATTCATTTTGATAATCTCTAAAACATAATCAGAATCATTTTGTTTTCAGTTATTTCACTGAAGAAGAAAATTCTGTCAACCCATTAACTGCTCTGCTCTTTAGGCAAAATGACAATCTATCTGCTACCCAGAATCACAAAACAGTTGAGGCTGGAAGGAACCTTAGTCCAACTCCATGCTCAAAGCTACCGCTGGTTGCCCAGAACTGTATCCAGTCAGGTTTTCAATATCTCCAAGGATGGAGACTCCACAGCCTCTCTGGGCAACCTGTTTCAGTGTTTGACCAACCTCACAGTAAAAAAATTTTCTCTTATGTTTAAATGGCATTTCCTGTATTTCAGTTTGTGCCCACAGCCTCTTGTCCTGTCATGGGATACCACTGAGAAGAGTCTGGCTCTGTCTCCTTTACTCCTTCCCATCAGCCAATACACACTAAATAATAAGATTCCCCCCAAGGCTTCTCTTCCCTCGGCTGAACAGTTCCAGTTCTCTCAGTCTCTCCTTGCATGACACATGCTTGAGTCCCTTCATCACCTTTGTGGCCCTTTACTGGACTGGCTCCAGTATGCCCACGCCTCTCTTGTACTGGGCAGCCCAGCACAGGACACAGCACTCCAGATGTGCCTCAGCAGTGCAGAGCAGAGGGTGAGGATCACCTCCCTTGACCTGCTGGCAACGCTCTGCCTGATGCAGCCCAGGAGCCCGGTGGCTGCCTTTGCCACAAGGGCACGTTCCTGGATCATGGTCAGCTTCTTACCCACCAGAACTCCCAGGCCTTTTCTGCCAAGCTGCTTTTCAGCCAGGTAGCCCCGAGACTGTCTGGGTGCCTGGAGCTATTCCATCCCATGGGAAGCACTTGGCATTTCCCTTTGCTAAACTTCACAAGGTTCTTCTCAGCCTACTTTTCCAGTCTATAAAGGTCCTTCCGAATGAAAGCACACCCATCTGTTGTATCAATCATTTCTCCCAGTTTTGTAGCATCTGTACTTGCTGAGGATGCACTCTGTACCACTACTTATGTCATTAAGATGTTAAACAATGTTGGCCAAAGTATCAATGCCTGGAGCACACCACTGATGACTGGCCTCCAGCTGGATTTTTGGCAGCTAACAACCCTTTCAGTCATGCAGTTAGGCCAGTCTACTATCTACCTCACTGTGGCACAATCAGGTCCGTATTTCACCAGCTTGTCTATGAGGATGTTTTGGGAGACAAACCAAGATAGGAAAATGATCCACAGCCTCAGAAGCAGGCATTTTAAGAAAAGAAAACAAGTCTATTTATATGCTGGTTCAAGTGCAATCATTTGCAGCATGAATCCTCTGATATATTGTATTTGGCTAGAAGATGGTTAAGGGCAGTCATTCGTGATCTGTGATGGTATCACCTTCATATTGATAAAGTTCACATTGACCAGAAAACATATTTCATCTTCTCAAATGGAAAGATTGTGAGAGTTAAGTTTATGTACCTGTATGGAACTGAATTACAAATATGCAGATCTCTCTTAAGAGGATGTTCAAACTTATGAATTACATAGCCTCACACTTCCTAATGGTACGCAAAACAGACAAGCGGATGTGCTG